TCCAGGCGCTCTCTTGCCCCCAAGTGCTTTTTGTTTCAAGCTATTCTTTGAGTTCTTTTAAAATAAAAAACATTAAAAATATATACCCATATTTTGCTGTATACAATGTGTTCCCGTGTATAATGCACACCCACATTTTTGGCCCAAACTTTCAGGGAAAAAAAGCTTTCTTAATTTTTTAATTCAATTTTTTGTTTATATTTAGATTCTTGTTTTCTGTATTATAAAGGAGTTTTAGCATTTATTTCTTAGTGTATTATGGTACAAGGAACTTTATGTAACAAATAATTACAAAACATAAGAACAGATACAAGGTACAAGAAGTTTTCATTAGTTCTACTCATGTATTATGTGCATCCTTATTTTCCCCTCAAAAATTTGGAATAAAAAGTGCGCATTATACATGGCAAAATACGGTATTTCTACTTCCTGGAGCCTTATTATTTGTTGTAGTTTAATCCTTCCTTATCAAACATCTAGTCCTCTGTAAATGAAATGCCAAAGTAGTGAGGGCCTTGAAGCAATAATAATTTTCACTTTCTAATGATACGAATAATGAAAATCAATTTGTGCAGGTGTGGTCTGAAGAGCTTGTGTGTTTTGGACAAATAGAGAGCACAGCTCCCGACCCATGATAACAACGTGGGGGCGGGAGGAGGAGGCCCGGCCACGGCCGCAGGAGTGCGGGCAGAGCGGCCGTGGCGCTAGGAAACACTTACAAGACATCCAGGGAAACGTGCAAAATGACTGCCATTCCATGATGTCGTATGGCATGATCGTTAATTGTTTTAGCTGTAAGAATGGAACTGTGACGAAGGAAGAAAGGAAGGAAAGGAAAGAGCAAAAAAGCCTTCATCATTGCCACATGTACTGAGCTCTTTATCGATGGGGCTATACGAGGTCTGTCTTGAAAAAGTCCAGCCACTGTTAATATAAGAATGGTCTGCGCGACATGAGTGTAACCTGGCCGCCAAGGAGAGTGGACTGGAATGCGCGTGCGTGAACAATGACGACTTGACTGTACTAGTCAGTGGGGGTGGTAGATGCTGTTGAGTGAGCACGTGCACTGTGTGGCCATCGCATTCAAAATGAGTGAGCGAGTAGAGCAACAAATCTACATCAAATTTTGAGTTAAACTTGAACATTCCTCTGCAGAAACTACTCAGACGATTCAGAAGGCCGCAGCTGTGGGCAAATGGTGAATGGCAGCTTCATCACGACAACGCGCCCGCTCGTGCATCGCATGTCCTACACAGTGTTTTGGCAAAACATCGAATGCCCCAGGTGACTCAGCCCCTCTACAGCCCAGATTTGGCGCTCTGAGACTTCTGGCTTTTCCCAAAACTAAAATCACCTTTCAAAGGGAAGAGACTTCAGACTGTCAGTGAGATTCAGGAAAATACAACAGGGTAGCCGATGGCAATGGGGAGAGAACTATGTGAGGTGCCAAGGTGCCCACTTTGAAGGGGACTGAGGCGTCACTGTCCCATGTACAATGTTTCTTATATCTTGAATCTTCTTCAATAAACGTCCCTATTTTTCATACGACATGGCTGGATACCTTCTGACAGACCTCGTATAATGTCTGGGACTTGTCACAAAATAATTCAGAGTGGACCGTGCACGTGACGTAAGACTGGCCGTGTGATAGCAGCTGCTGACCAGGCGATGAGTGTTTGGAGGCTCCCTCTGCCGGCCTCGCCTTTTTAAGTATTGAGTTGGAAATTTTCCAAAATAAAAAAGGTTATTTAAAAAGAAGAAGCAGGAGAGAAAGGAGACGGGAAGAAACAGAGGAAAACGAAAGCAGGTGAGTCGGCAACAGAACGAAAGAAAAAACGGAACAGAAAGCAGAGACGAGGGAAGGAACGAAGGACCGGAGAGAAAGTGGGAGGATCAGAAGCCAAGAGGTCAGTGCAGACGGCAGGGGTGCCGCCGCTTCACACAGGCTCTGCGGCGCCGACGGCAAAACCTGGAAGAGCTCGAAGCCCCCAGAGCCCGTCCTGGTCAGAGTCCTGAGAGCACTGTGCTGCACGGCCTCCCCCACGGCCCCGGGAGAACCGCCCCGGAACCGCGCCCACCCGTGGGGAAGCGTGCGGGTCCAGTACGAGTTTGCTTCCAGGCTTTGGCCGTCTACGCTGTGTTTCCCTGGCCCCAACGTGGGCGAAGCCATCAGGGTTAATTACCGGGCACCAACATGCACAGAAGACCAAACGTAAAAACTCGAGAAGGAAATGAGACACAGGAACTTAAAATCCAGTAAGAAGTAGAAATAAAAACTCATAAGAGCTCCACTATAAAGAAACTCAGCAAATAGTCAATGTTTTGATTATGCCAGGAAGGGAAAACATCATTTATGCCAATCCTGGAAGATGTTTGTTCTGATTTTACACTGCAGTATCTGAGTGTTTGGGGTCACTCAGCAAGCACCACAGACCACTCAGAAAGCCTCCTTCTGGCAGAGTCCAGGCATTACGTCAAATCCTGTCTGGTTAGGACTTTATTTTTCTTCTTGTACTTGTCTGGTTTGTGAAGGGAACTCCTAGGGACTGCTCCCAAAACAATTATCCAGACGGTTCTTGATCAAAATTAGCCCCAAAGTCTGCTTCAGTCCAGAGTCACAGCCAAGCTCTGGTCCAGAACCAGCTCAGGCACCAAAGCCCTGGTGGGAGCACAGAGGCCGAAGTCAGAGAGAGACACGCCTGCCGCAATGAGCCACACCTGACCGCCCGGAAGCTCACTCTGCCACCTGTCACGCGGAACTCATCAGGCGCTTCCCTAGGACCAGTTCACGATCATAAGCTGAGCCCATGAAAGTCAAATGCAGCCCACACCCCGCCCTCAGACAGGCTGCCGACTCCTGTGCAGGGTGAGACCCCCCCAAAGAAACAATTCTCTCTCCCGCTGCACAGTGTGGAATTTTACTTCCTTCTTACTCTTCCCTCAATAGACATTCAGCTATTCCAACTCAGCTTTCAGTTTCTTACTTTCTGTCTTCTCGAAATGATACAAGCTGTTTGGGTAGCAACATCTGACAAAGTGAAACAGGACTGTCTGTGCTAAAAGTCACCCCGTGATCACGCTGGCTCCCCAGAAATGCATTCTTTCCAGAAATGTAATTTTTTTTTTTTTTAATCCAGAGAATTAAGCCTTTTCTGAAAGATAAGAATGGAGCTCAAGGGCTGGGCCACTCCTCCAGACAGAGCACCCAGGGACAGGCAGGAGGAACGTGGCTGTGGGTCCAGGCTGTGAAGCTGGCTTTCTCCACCTGGGGGAGGAAGATAACATTTCTGAGCCATCTTATTATTCTTTTTTTTCAATACCCTGCTAATTGTCAGCTAGCCATCTGCAGAATGATTGCGTTTTAATGCGACTTTAAGAATGCCACCTTGTGAAAGGCACAGGTTCGCCTGGTCAATTGAATAACTCCTCCTCCCCTCCTCACTTTGCTGCTCCGTCTAACCCCGCGGACAGTAAGGGTTTCGTCGAAAAGCGCCTGTGCACTTCTGGGCACAAGAGCATCATGCACACAGCCGTCTAAACGGGTTTCCATCACCCCCACTAAAATCGCCCGTGGGACATAAGGCTCGGGGGCCAGGGCCCGCCCCAGCACTGGGAACCACAGAAGGTGCCATCAACGTGCCAGAAATGTCAAGGGCTTTTGGCAGATGGGACCAGATTGAAGAAAACGACTATAAGCCAAACAGCACTTCCCCCTCACCAGAACAGGTTAGGTTCTTAAGAGAAAGGGTTCTGCCATCCCCTGCTCCGGAGGGCGAAGTCCACAGGGCATGGTGGGACCCGGGGCAGGCGGAGCGCCCACAAGCTGGACCCGCTGGCCGGGGTGGCTCAGCAGCACTCGAAGCAGCCACAGTTGGGGCGTGTCTGTGATGCCACCGGGCGCATCTGGGTGAAGGCCAGACCAAAGAGAACGAGGCACCGGGAGCAGTGGATTCCCCAGCCCCAGGCAGAGCTGAATGGTGCAGAGACCATGGAGCCTCTGCTGCACGGCTCAGGCTGATGAATCTCTGCGTGGATATACTGATACACTGATACACTGACACAGCAGCGCACTCAGCGAGCTGGGGGGAAATCCACAAGGTGCCTATGAAAAGGTTCCCAAACAAACAAGAACATAGCATTCCAAAAGATTTCTTAAAGGCAGCAACAAAAGTTTTCAAGAGCACCTCCTTGTATTCTCAGGAAAATTTCTGAACATACAGGGTCTGTGAAGATAAGATAGCAAAATAAGAAGGAAAAAAAGAAAGCATCTGGCCAAGAGACTTGGGAAAATGGGAAACAGACGAGATAAGGAAACCAGTGAATCTCAACATCCAGCAGCAGAATTCATTATTTGCATTAGAAACCATACAGAGCAGGGCTGATTCTCTAGAAACTGAGTCAGGGATGTGGAAAGCAAATATGCTGAGTTCTTCCCAAGAAACAGACCAAAATCGTGAGGAAATCATGAAAATGGAGGACGGCGAGCAGCACACACCCACAGGCAGGGCCCCTGAGCCCCAGGTACAGTTCAAGCGAAACGCTCTGCACCAAGAGGCTATTTGTGGCAGGACCAGAGCGGGCTCTTGAAGCCCCACGTCTAATCCTGGAACAAAAGGTAAATAAAAGGTCAGTCAGCGGAACACCTAATCCCCTGAGGACCAGGTGGGGTGACAGCCCTTCACCTCCATGTAGATCCCAATGGTCTTTTTAACCTACTGATGGGAAACGCAGGTGTCCTGGAGCAGTTTTTGCCACCCAGGCCTCGCGGCCAACTGCGAAGTTAGACAAGAAGTTAACACTCCCAGCTTCATCCCACACAACATCCCTTATGTGCAGGCCAATGTCCTCTGGGGACAGTCTGCCATTCCTGGAGACCGGCCATCCGCCTCGCTCCCTTCCCTTCTCCCACCTCTGAGGGGCAGCACACGAAACAACTGTCACAGACGCCGCGCATTCACAACCTCCCACTCACAACCTCCCACGAGAGAGGCCCCACTTACCCTGTCCCAGCTGAAGCACAGGCCCAGCTGGTCCAGCTGCCGCCTCATGTGTTGAATATTACTGTGGAATGAAGGGAAGAAGGTTTGGTCTGTACAGGGGGGAAAGCCATAAACAAACTAAACTTTGAGAATATAAAGGGTAAATGGAAAAAGTCTACATTATTCCAAAGGGCTTTAAGTGTCGTTTTGCCCTGGCCAAAAAAAAAAAAAAACAACAAAACATTAATCACTAGGAATCCATGAAAATGTCAGCATATTAGAAGATACCTTCTCCCTGGACTCAGACAGAATCTACTAGAAGCCACAATGGTCTTTGGCTTCAGGATGGGCCCTTCCGCTGGCTGTTCAGATAGACAACTCCTTTGATATGTGTGCTCCTGGCCCATCCATATGTATGTCTGTATTCTGCACAGATAGAAGCCAAACATTTACAAGTATAAAATCCACTGAGCAGGAAAAAAAGCCTTTAACGTACAAACCGTGGCAATCCTAAAGCAATCTGGTTTAGCGCACTGTCAATCAAAACCCAAATCACTGGGAAAGGAGAGAAGTGAATTAATCAACTTCAACACAAAATAAAAAAACACACCATTTTTTCTTTTTGTTAGACAAAAAGGACTAATTCACTTACCCTGCATCCTTTTCGGTTCAAGCAGCCTGGGCGCAGGAGAAGCCATGAAAAGACCCCAGGCGGCCTCCGACCAGCTCACAATAGCTTATTTTACTCCAGGCCTTGTGCTAAGCATTTTTGCAGAAAAGTACTTTCTATAGACTCAATGTTTGTGCCCACAGATTCGATTCATTGAAACCTAGTCCCCAGGGTGACTGTGTTAGGAGGCTTGGTCCTTGGGAGGGGATTAGGTCACGAGGACAGAGCCCTCAGGAATGGGAGGCAGTGTCCTTCTAAAAGGGACCCCAGGGAGCTCCCCCGCCCCTCCCACCATGCGAGGACACAGAAAACGGCCGTCTGCACCCTGTGAGAGGGTCTAACTGGACACTGATCTGCAGGCGCCTTGACCTCAGACTTCCCAGCCTTCAGAACTGAGAAATAAGTGTGTTCTTTACAAGCCGCCCAGGCTGGTGGCGTTGTTACAGCAGCTGAGACAGTGCTTCATCTCTACCCATCCTTATGAGGCAAGAACTATGACTGTCCCTCCTTTACAGACAAGTAAACTGAGGCACAGGGACGTTAACTAGTTTGTTCAAGGCGAATCGCTAGCAAGAAGGGAAGGCAGGGCCTGCTCCGAGGTGGATGATTCAGGGGCTGTCTTCTTCACTGCTATTCAACAGGGGAGGGTTGGCAACTCTTTCCTGTAAAAGGCTGGACAGTAATGTCTTCAGCTTTGTGAGCCACATGGTCCTGGTCACAGCACTCACCTCTACCACTGTACCGTGAAAGCGGCCACGGACAAAATGTCAACAGATGGGTGTGGCTGTGTTCCAGGAAAACTTTATTACAAAACCAAGCAATGCTTGGTCTAACTTTACATCAAATTTATGCCCTATTAGATCCGTTTTATTTGATCATTTCCTCCAGAGAAGTGGATGGTGCAGTGAATGTTTTCACAACGTAGCCTTGGTCAAGATAGAGCAAAGGGAGGTGAAGACCCTGGGGACAGACCCCAGAACTGCACGGCCACATCGCAGGGCACTGGGGAGCCCCAGATCTTTGTGAAAGAAGCTGATGGGGTGGGCCCAAAACATTCTGCTGGGTTCTGGTATGAGGCCCTCCAGACTTGGCCAGGTGGGAGGGGGCAGACAGGAAGCCTGAGGCCCGGGAGGGACTGGGAGTGTGTAACCTTGGGAGAAAGCTACGCTCAGAATCAACTGACCGTATATTTCTATGTTGAATCGCTAAGCTCCTCTTGCTTCAAAGTGGTGAAAGCAAAAAACTTAACAGACTTTTCAGAGAAAATGATATTGTGGAATTTGGATATAGCTCAAACTATGACCACGCAGGGCAGAAATGTATCAGCTGCAACACTCGCTGCCTTTTCCTTCCAAATGCAAATACTCCACAGAAGAATAGCTTTGTAAAGAACAGAGCATCAGAAAGAACACATGAGTGACTACGCCAAGCCCTCTTTGTGATTCTTAGGTAAGAACAGAGAGCACAGAAAGGCAAACGCGGGTAGACACAGTCCTGCTCAGCACTTGGTCACCGCAACATTCACTTTGCTTTTCTAGTTCTCCTGCGCAGGTTTAAAAAAAATGTTAGGGTTCTGGTACATAGGTGTTTGAATATGTCTGTAATTCATACCTTTGCGTCCAACTTTCTGGATGGAGCTTTCTCTCGATGGCGGCATTTTCGGCAGGCAGTCCAAACGCGTCCCATCCCATGGGGTTGATGACCTAGCACCCGGAGAGAAACATCAGGCATGACAGACTGCAAAGACCGGGGTGAGTATTCTCTTCTGGGCTACGAACAGGCGCTCTCTCCTACTAACAGGCCTTATCTCCTTCTGGGTGATTTCAAAATACACTTTGGAAAGCCAGCTAGCTACCTATGCCACACGTATAGGAGAGAATTTAGAAGATTACACGCCAACGCACCAACAGCAGTTGTCGCTGAGCAGGTGCTCTCATTCCTGCTTTATGGCTTCTTCTTCTTGTCTGTATTGTCTATAATGAACCTGAACTGTTTTTCTTAAATTATAGAAAGTTTCTTTCCATCTCAAAAATAGGTATACGTAAAAATGTATTGTCTTTCGAAATGCTCACCTGGGGTTAATCTTAGTTTCCAGTTAAGGGGCTGTACGGTCCAATATGGTAGCCGCTAAGCCACTGGTAGTTACATAAATTTAAATTCAATAAAAATCTCAGTTCCTCAGTTGCACTAGCCACCTTGCATGTGTGCAACACCCACTTCGAATCACTTCCTTAAGCATTTCCGTTCTTCAAAGAACAGGGAATCCAGGACCCGAAGATCATCGAGCTCAGAGGCTTTTGTGGTATATCCCCCCCGCCCCTTATCTGACAGTTTCAGCAGCTGCAGCCCCACAAGACTGAGCAGCTGCGCTCAGCCACACCGGAAGCAACGTCCCTAAGCCAGGACAGGCCAGTAAGGCTTCATTTCTGCCAACGGACAAGTGACAGCTCAGCTGGCAGCTTCCATAGGAAGTTCTGTCAACCTAACCACGTGCTATGGCCCCAAGGGCCAGAAAGAAGGCGGAGCTCTCTACCTTCCATTGGGAGAGACACCTGTTTTGACAACTCAGTCCCCTCCCCTTCTATGCTACTGGTGTCACAGCTTCTCTTCCAGCCACATCTCTGAGGCTCGCCTGTGGGTGAGGCTGACCCACGGAGGCCCTAATATTTCTAGGCAACTGCACTTTCCAGCTGACCCTGACTGTCTATCAAGTTCACGGTCTGTCAGCAGCCATGAGCTGGGCCAGTCGGCTGGTTTGGAATCACACATATCTCCTTGGGGTAGTGATGAACACTGAGAGGTGCTTGCTGGCCCCCCCTCCTCACCTGTGCATATCACAGGAGGACGTTTTCCACTAAAGAAGTGGATGAGTCTTGTTTTCTTTTATAAACAACTTTCCCGCATTACTAACGTAATGTACAGTTACTATAAGTAACTTCGTACACAGAGAAAAATGTTCAAAAGAAAATAAATCACATCTGTAATTCTACCATACAGTCATACATAAACTGTTACATTTGGTAAATTCATATCTAATGTTTATAAATTGGGTATCGTTTCCCTATTTTTTTGCACTGGGCACCTACAGGTTTCTCCCACCTTTCCATCTGGCCTAAGGACTCCCCAAGGTGCACACGCCTTGTATCTCCCAGGTCCTTAAGGACTTACAGTCAAAGTGTCCCAGACGGGACTCATCCCCCCGATCCCAGTTCCCAGACCTGCGCTCTGCCCAGCCCCTCTTAGCAGGTGGCAGTAAGGGAACAGGCATGTCCCACCCAGGGGCTGCAGCCACTGGCCGTACAGTCCCCCTTCCACAATGCACATGATTTTGTCATTGGTTTGGTAGTCTGATGGAGTAATCCCACCCAGACAACGAAGACCATGCATCTAACCTCAGAGCCACTCTAAACTAACTCCATAGGCTAGTGAGTGGGAAGAACTGGCAAAGGCTCGCTCTCAGGAGGCTGTGTAGTGGGAGGGGACCCAAGCCTGCCATTCCCTGGCAAGGGGACCTGTGGCACATCACTGACCCTGAGTCCCGACTATAAATTGCGACTGAAAGTAGCCACCTCGAATTGTTGTTATACGCCTCAGTGTCTGTGGGACACACAGCAGAGAACGGCACCCAGCAAATGGCAGCGCAGGCCGTTGTCACGACTGCTGCCACCTGCTTCCCTGACCTCCAGCACCTCACGGTTCCCTTGTCAAGGGTGCACATCCCCGGTTCCCCTGTCCAGGTTTTAGCCCGTGTCTTTTTGGCCACAACGGGGAGTGAGACACCCTGACCCCACACACATCCTCTTCCACAGACATTTGTAAGCATGCGTTACTTACAACAAGCCTCTGTAGCCGTTGCTGCCAGGCACGGGAAGTTCTTAACCAAATCGAACAGACCATGAGGCTCACAGGGCTGGCCAGCTACCAGCCTCCCTGTCTGTACGAGGGCCCCGTGGGTCTTCTTTCCCACAGAGTCAATGGCTCACAACAGGTGCTTCACTGGAAAGGAGCCCAGCTGTTCTTGCGCCAGCCGCCTGGACCAGGCACAGCCCACGACAAGACGGCAGCCCTCTGCGAGCCGGGCAGGAGGGGGTTTGCCTCCGGCTGCCCTGGACAAAGGCACCGCCGGCAGATCTTGCCCCACTGGGGTTGGTGGGGGGTCCTGCCCACTTGGATCTGCTTTCTGGAAGTGACGTACACAGGCTTGGTGAACAAACAACGCTGTGGCCTCTCCGGCTTCCTGCTGCTACAGCCGAGGCTGGTTTGCCACGTCTAGTGCTGTGCTTCCCAGTCTTGGGGGCTTGGGAAGCCTGGCCAGCTCTGGATCTGCAGCCTGAGACGACACGACTCCCCGGCTCCCTAACTCCCTTCCGTCCCCGCACCTGCCCTGTCCTGAGGTCAGTCTGAATAGGCTTCTGCTTTTTTAGGTATTGCATGTTTCTGAAATTACAAATGTAATACAGGCTTATTTCAACAAGTGAAACGACACAATACATAACATGCAAAGGCAAAGCCGCTCCTCTCCTCCTGGCCGCCGGCCCCATTCTCAAGCCCTTGACGTGACCAGCAGCAGCGGCCTTTGTAGCCTCACTCACACACAGAGGTTCAAACATGTGCACACGCCCCCAGGAGCCTGCTGGTTTACTTTTATGGAAACAAAACCTATGTTACACTATGTTATGATCTGCTTTTCTTTTCACTTAATAAATCATGGATGTCTGTGCAAAATATAGACGCATGCATGGCCGTAGGAATGTCTTTTCTAAAAATTCTAACGTTCCATGGGTATGTCTATTGTATGCAGTTTTAGGGGCCTGACTAGACATACCCAATCCAGCGGATCTCCTGGACCCGAGGTCTCCTCTCCTCTTGTTCAGTATGGCTGGCCCACAGTGTTCCATCCTTCCAAACAGCACCCTCCCCTTCTCCTGAAAACTGCTCCTCCTCCAACTTCATACGGTCCTGCTGAGGACCGCCCGTTGCAAAACCCACCCCTCCAGCTCCGGCTACGGAGGGAGGCAGGACCTGAATCCTTCCCCAGGCTCGTCAGCGGTCTGGGGTGCGGGGCAGGGTGGGGTTGGTGCAACAGAGACCCGGGCAATGAGGGCTCACCTTCTTCTCTTTCCTCCTCAGTCGGGGCAAAGAAGGACAGGAACCAGGGTTCCAAGTGGCCCTGCCTTCCTCCTGGTGGAGATGTCTGAGAGGGTAAAGCTGGCACGCGGAGAAAAGTGGAAATGGGAGGTGGGCAGAGACAGGGGACACCGACGTGCTGCACGGACCTGGCCCCACACCCAGCACCTGCCTCCTACCACATTTCCTTTGACTTTGACCCTGTAAGCTCTGCCCAGATCTGGAGAAACAACAAAACCTCCTTTTGTGCTGAAGCTGGTCTGAGCTGGGCTTCCATCCCCAGGAGCTCAAAATCCCAACTACAACGGACGCCCTCTAGGATATGCTTTCTCCTGAGTATTGTTTAATCCAGAGATGAAAAACATTCCTACTAAGTGTCAGTTTTTCCTCTCTTTTCAACTATTAAGAACAAACAAACAAAAAAATATTCCCATGCAGGGGTGCAGGGGATACATGCTGGATTACTAGAAATTTCTTCAATGCTTCCACGGACAGAGCAGCTCCCAGATGTGCTTCAATTCTCCTAGGCCCGCTTCCCTGGCAGAACACAGTAACTGTTGCATAACCACGAGGTGGGGGAAGCTTAATCACCACTCAGGTTCTTTGCTGGAGCTGCCAACTGGCAAGAGGTCGATGTTTCTGCCTATTAACATTCTGTAGGTACTGTCCGTATTTTTAAATACAGTCAACACAGAAGACAGGCACAAAAAACCTGTCTGGATTTATGTAATATACCTGTTCATTTCTATTTTTGTTGTCAGATGAAATTAACAGAAAAAGAGATTGTAAGTTCACGTGTTACCCAAGCTGTCTATAAAAATAAAATCAGAGCCCTAGCTGGGTGGGATCAGTTGGTTGGAGCATCATCCCACACAGCAAAAGGTTGGGGGCTCGCTTCCCAGTCAGGGCGCATACCAAGGTGGTGTGTTCAGTCCCCAGCCGGGGAGCATGCGGGAGGCAGTGATCAGCGTTTGCCTCTCACATCGGTCTCTCTTTCTCTCCCTCCTCCCTCCTCCCCCTCTCCCTAAAATCAATAAACATATCCTCAGGTAAGGATTAAATACATAAAGTCAGAAGAATCTTAAACCTTCTTAACAGTAACATCATATTCTTACCAAAAAATTAATAAAAAAAAAACCAGAAAACAAAAACAAAAACCAATGTCTGCCCTAGAACGCAGGTCGGGGCAGGCCTTTGTGCTTCTGGAACCAGGACGGTTCTCCTCACCGGGGGCTGGGTCCCTGGGACCAGAGCTTCTGTGGGCCAAGCCTGTATGACATGGGAAAGGGCCCTATGGTTTCCGCAGCCTGGGTTTCCCAGTGGCAGCAACCGAGCGCGGAGCGCAGCCCGTGCCCCCAGATGGTTCGCTGCTGTCCAGGGCGGACGCAGTGAGCACCCGCAGCAGGGGTACAAACGACCAATGCGTGCCCCTCGCCCTCGGCAGCACGTTCTACTCGCTGGTCAAACTGTCACAGCTCCTCTACGGGACAGACACGGTGTCCGGTGCTTCCTCGGCTGGTCCCCTTCACGTCTTGGTCTCGCCTGGCATTCAGATCCAATACCTCCGTTCTCAGCA